TCTACCATCACTTTTATATAAAAAAAAACGACCTTAAAACTTCGTGTAAAGTGCGCGAACCCGGTTTCATCCCACAGTTTGCCACCCTTAGAGGTGGAATATTTTCTTCAAATTTAAATGGGACCAACACTGAGGTACCTTCTTTCCAATAAAAAAAGAATAATCGAAATCGGTTCACAAATAGAGTAATCGCGTAGCTTACACCAATAAAAGTACAGTCGAATTAAGACTCCTTCTTTTTTTGAAATCGGTTAAAATAAGTACAATTAACTGGTTGTAACGATCAAACGCAATTCTGAAGCCGTAATTTCCGCCAGATGGTAGCGTAAAATAGTATTTTCTGCGTACGCGAACGTTTAAATCCAAACAATTATATTAATACAAAACCAAACTGTATATTGTTTGTTTATGACCAATGAACCATTCGTAACGTCAATCTTACTCAATCGTGATTTAATCTGAAACTATTGTTATTCAATTGAATCAATCAGCATTGTTGTGAAGAAGTCGATAAGATAAAACACCAATGTATTTTAAGAACCGACGTTAACTCCTAAGTTTGTATTTAACCAAAGACGAGCAGCCGAAAATCGCACACAGGATACAGGCGAAGCTCGTCGCTGAGGAGCTTTCAGTTAACCTCGTTAACCTACACACCTTAAACAGTACACCTTACCTATTTCTACCGCCAAGCAGTAATGTGAGCCTTACAGCGTTCCTGTTTTAGAGGGTGGTGCTGGTCAAATTATAGGCACTTGGGACTTGTCAATTTATGTCTCAGTGTGACGAACGCAGTGACTGTGCCCCTGAGTTCTTTGCGATTTAAACATCTGATTGGCATTGCAGCTGCTATGGACAAATGCGCGGCTTTCTCGTCCTGTCACTTGTTATCATAAAAAAAGACAATGTCGAAGACTACTTGATGGTTCTGGGTTCCGTCCCTAACCAATAACAAATTGAATTAGTACCAATTTAGGAAATGAGCTTTTCTTAATGGTTTCCTGTCGTTACTTTCTGTGTAGTATTCTCGGAATTCATTTCATTATGCTGGTACTCATAGAGTGTCGAATTCCCTAGTACGACTAGGTAACTGGTATAATAGTCTAGCACATAAAAAACTTCGCTTCCCATACAAAATGATAACAGGTTTCAAACCCCACAAAATATTGACCCAATTTTTGCACTCTTTACCATAGGAATGCTTTGTTAGCAGGTTTGGATATAGTTAAAAATAACCAGTATAAGCTTACTAGTGGCAACGTTGTTTAGTGTAACCAGGAATAGAACACATAATCAGGGAAACCCGATAACGCCTGTTGGACGGCCGGTAACACGACACGACTACAAGGAAATGACTCTATCGATTGTCTAGACTAGCACGCAATTTGACCGTCATTCTAGGTAACGCAGTCTTTAAGGCGTTGAGTTTATTAGGAAACAAAGTTCTAATAAAGAAGTGAAGACAACCACCGTCTACATCTACTAAAAAGCCCTATTCATTGGCGAACTTAATATCCTTGGTTTTATTATACAACATGTGATGGATGATATGTCTAAGGTGCTTCTGTCTCATGAAAGTCAAAAATTTCACGAACTACACGAAAGAAATTATGTAGGGACAGGTGGGTGTCAGAAGAACACCGAGAGAAGAGCGACTAGAAACCTTAGGTAACTCAAGCAAAAGTTTAATAATACAGTTTCTCAGTTGATAAAACAGGCAAACAAATTAGTTTGAACTATTTTGAAGAGATGTCGCTACGATGCTCCAAATTAAAAATGCGGAAAAAACAAATTTGAGAATTGTGAAATCTTGAGAAAACGACGTGTAACATTACCTTTATAAGAAATACAATGTACTGTTCTTCTTACTCCATCTTTTGGAGAAAGAAAAGAAATTGCACGTTTTCGGCAAATACATCCTAAACATTGAATTTAAAGCTGATAAACATAGACAAGTAAAGTAGGTGTACTTCAAAATTCTTATAAGACGTTATCTGTCCTTATCAAAATAAAGTAGGTTCTACATCATCTGACTATACAGGGTAATTTTTGAAATACTAACAACCTTGTAGGACTATATTACAAATATCCTTGTTTTTACGTGTGGAAATCCACATGGATATCTCTCTGCTGCGAGGGCAACAGAGAGATTATGTCGGACTCCTATCGACTAAAACCCCACGGTGTTCCGTCCCTGTACCTTTTGCCGGAACTATGGGGACGCTTTCCCAATCTTCCGCGGTCCCGACGGCACTGGCCTTCCTTCCCGTTGGGGTGGAGCTAGAGAAACACCACCCCATTCATCACTTACAGGGGCACGCAGGAACACCGGGGCCTATACATATTACCAACATCCTGGTCCAACATCACATCGTAAACAACAATTTTTCTTCCGCAACACTTTTTAGATATATTTGGTAATAAGATAGCAAGTTCAAACGTGCAAGGGTCCTCTTCGACGACTCTCGAGTTTTGCACTGAGTTATCATCGTTTATAGTCTGTCTTTTTTGAAGACGGAGTGCGCTTGCGAGCAGCTGGTGATTCCAGTCGATAAATATTCTATCGACTGAGTATTGGTCACGCTTATGGAATAAATAGCTGAACTTGTTCCATTTGATCATCCTCGACCCATTATTCATCCAATTATTGAGCACGAGTTCATTTAAATTGTCAATTTTTGTAAGTTCATACATACATTTAGAAGTATGTTTATGAAAAATACAAAGAGGAGGCATATTTTGAACTTGTTAATATATTATATATAAATAAAAAATTATTTTGACTACTATAGTACAATAAATCTCGAAATAAGAATAAAGAAGGCAATAACTCAATTAGAACGGCGTAACATTCACAATTTAGTAATTTTTGGCAAAATTTTCTTTCACGATCTATCGATAAAACTATCGACGACAACTACATAACTATTTAAAATTTTATGAAACTGTCTACCCTACAAATGTCATGTTGCTCAGTTTTCAAAAAAGACAGACTATAGAGTGGTCTATTTAAATATGTTTATTTTTGTATGAAACTGAAATATGACAAATCGTTAAAAATCGTGCAGCAAAAGTTGTTGTTTATGGTGTTAGTAATATACTCCTGCAAGGTTGTTAGTATTTTACAAACAACCCTTGCTTACCGAAATTTTGTAACTACTATATTAAGCTTAAAAAGTGATCGACTAATTCTGTTAGCAGAATCTTCAAAAGTCTCCTGAAAAGTCGTAATTTTGCAGAAGTGGCCTTGTTACACCAAGGCTGCGACTTGTAAATCATGTTGTCGAGCATGTTTGCGAACATGGCTAATGAAAGTGGTCTCTTAACCTTTGCGTGCTCGCGCCAAATTGAATGTAACAATTCATAATTGTAATGACTGACTTGAATTTAAGGATACTGAACTTTTATGCATCTTCATCATTATCCCATTACACGTCCCACTGCTTGAGGATTCTCTTTAAAAAAAACCGGGATCGTTTTCGCAAAGGACTTGGAGGTTTCTGGAATAGTTTCTTTGCGTTGTGCAGTGCCATTTAAAAAAAACCCTCTGTATATTTAGCGTTAATTAACAATTAGCACTTTCGTGGCATATCTTCTTATAAAAGTGGTACCAATTGAAAACCAGCTTTATAGCAGGCGAGCTATGACATTTGCTGAGTTGGATACTTTTCAGCTTATAATTGTAATCATTAATTTGTTTTGTTTTTTATAAGTCTTAATAAGCTGAATAAACATTTCCTTAATTTCTTTCTTTTTTCTCATGGTTTAGGCCAATGTGGATTGGCGAATTCACTCGCTTTCCAAGTGCTACGAACCCTTTTTCAAAGCGCAAGTTTCATCGTGATGTTTTTAATGAAGTTAGCGAGAGGTAGTAACTTCTGAATTGAGAAGCTACCTTTTCCCACTGTGTTATAACTTATTCTACATAAAGTTTTAATCTGTAGCTGCCTCAAGCATAGACAGCATGATCATAGAACCATTGTTTGTGTGAGTGTTTTTGTCTTTTCTGTTGTGTTTGTGTACATGTACTAGCATTAGTATTTGAGTGTGGCCGTTACTACACCAAATGGGTCCATGTTATCTTAATAAAGAAATTTTATTACATTATCAATTCTCTATTCTCTGACAACAAAAATAGATAATTCCGAACGAGGTTTTTTTTCTTAAACCAGGCTCATCAAATATTTCCCTAGCGACATATTCAGCGAAACAAACGAACACAAAGCCATCATCTGTCAGTCTGCGTCCAGCTGGCTCGACATATACAGTAAGCAGATACATTGAATCTATGACCAAAAATGCAGCCAAGAAGTTTAGCATCCTTTCCAAGGTGAGGCGTTACTTCACATCGGGACAGTTACTTCAGCTGTACCAAAAACAAGACCGGTATGGTATGGAGTACTGCTGCCACTTATGGGATGGCTCTGCTAAATACCAACTGGCCACCTTGGATTCAATAGACAAGCGTGCCAAGAGGCTTATACGTGACTTGGAATTAGTAGACGCTAAACTGCAGAGCCTTGAAAACCGCCGTAGAGTTACCTGTTTATCGGTATTCTACAGGATATATCACGAAGAGTGTGCGAAGGAATTGCATAATTTGATTCCGCCTTCCCATCTCCATCATCGGGGGACGACACGTGGGCTGGGGTTCCACCCCTATGTTGTGGATATTCCCAGGATTAGCACGAAGCGATTCGCTTCCACATTTATATGGCAAGCTGCTGCGGACTTGTTTCCCGAACGCTATAACTTGGACCTTTTCAAGGCGAGAGTGAATGTTCATTATTTAGGTGTCCATGCTACTTCATCGACCTCGTCGTCACTTTCCATCAGATGAGATAGAGGTTAAATGCGCACTTATTTTTATTAAAAATAAAAAATAAGCGTCAAAAAACTTAGAGGATGGAAAAAAATAAGGTCAAAAAGGTTACAACAAAATTTCTATGGAGACCTGTTAGTGTCAAGTATTCTGACGTTCTGTTTTCTGTCTGTTTCAGTTCTGGGAGATAATATCTGAAGAGCACGGCATCGACAAGACTGGCGCGTACCACGGCACTAGTGACTTGCAACTCGAACGCATCTCCGTCTACTACAATGAGGCCTCTGGTAAGAATCAATTCCGTTCACAAAAATACTCGGAACTCGCTTGGGAAGCTACCACGTCCCTTTCTATTTAGGTCTTAAAAGAAATCTGCCTGATAGAAGGGTAGGGTACAGAGGCACAAGAGACTTACCTGGTAGAGCTCCTTGTGAAGAGTTCGTCCAGGAAATTACTGTCATCTTACCTATTTCTGCCCCCAAGTAGATCTTCGCGATTTAAAGCTTTGTGTATTCCAAATGTCTAAGATAGATGCCATCCTTAGTATTTCAAATGGATAAGACCTTGAATAAACGGTGTTTCTTTTTCCGAAATCAATTTATAAAGCAGGAATTTATAAATACGTACCACTAGAGACAACTAGAGACTGGACGCGACGAGCAGGCAATTTGCCTAAGTACTAGATCTAGTTTAATCACGTACCACGGAGGTCATTGCCCTCGCGACAGCTCGTTGTTACCGACGCCCTGTCGGTAATAGCTCGTGTCGGTAATTGGACAATTACAGTTCATTTAAAAAAGGAAGGATTATTGTCCAAATTTTCGTGGATCTGTGTGACCTTACAATGACATCCGAGTCAATCTACTTTATGGAGATGTGGGCCTATTCCCACCACTATTCGCCGCGGACCGGCGAATTTGACGGGAAATCGGCACTCTGACTAGGTGTTCACATTAAGCCGGGTCTCGCAAAAAAAAAACCGGAGACTTTAGTCGAATTCAGACCGCTGCGCACGATAGACGACGAAATTGCGGTGGTTAAAACCAACCACCAGCCTGTGAATAACAAAAACGGAAAATAATAATGTGCTAGACAACTACACCAATTGCCTGAAAACAGCCTGCAATATTTGTATATACATATAGGCAGTAACTTTAGGATAAAGCGACGAAACGTCAAATGAAGTGCCACAGGGATCATCCTAGTTTGTATTTAGTATAACAAAGGTCTTTGAAATACTAGATGGTTATAAACCACGTGGCTACAACAGCAATTCGCATGTTGTAGCCCCATCTAACATTTCGACGACAAATCTTCGGCTGAGTCTCTGCCACGGTCGGCCACGCTTCGTCGCCTGCTAACTGTGGATACGGTACTGTTATACCTGCCAATGCAAAGTCGACTCATTTTAATATGACTTTGGCTTAAAGTTTGTAAGTCAGTATTTTTTTGTTATGCAAGCGGACAATCTGCCAGATGTTAATCACAGCTGTCTGTGTCCATTCAGGCCAGAAAGATCTTGAGTCTCCTGTGCTTGTAATTATCCTGGATCTCATTATCCTTCAATCCGGATAACAGATGTCATTTTGTAGTTTGTCTTGATGGTCGTCTTCACAAAGTCGCAATGGCCAAACAATTTAATTTTCAACAAATATTAACAGTAATTGATTACTTATGAGTCGGTACAACCTCAAATAACTTTGGGTGATTCCGCATGACGGTGAAAATGTCGAATCAATCACTATGGAAAAAATATATAGTAAAATTGAGGGTATACACTGAATATACGGTGTAAAAACACCATTCCAACGTTACCGAAAAAAAATTCTGAAATAAAGCCAGTGTCCATGCCCCTCGACCCAAGCAAAATGAACCGTATTAATACGTGAAAAATTTGAATACCAAAAATGTTTAATTAATTACAGACTTACAATAATAACGCACAGAAACCTAGTCCGCACACGCTAAGTGAGGCAAATTGAAGTGCGCCAAAAGGGCCTGCACGAGCGGGCGGGCCTTCAGTGCTCAAGGTCAACTTGCACCGCGAACAGATTAAGAATTTTAGCTAAAAATTACGAAATGTGCGGTAAATGAGTGTAAAAATACGCCAGACAAACATAAAATAGATACTAACATCACATTCCACAAGGAAGTAACGCGTTTCCACTTGTATTTTTATATAAATATTCACTAAAACCGAAAATTAACGTACTACTAAAACTAGCCTACATGAATTTGATTTTTGCCTCACTTGTGACAGTTCGTTTGATATGAAACTATCGTTCTATGCGTTATTATTTTAAGTATACGGTATAAAAACACCATTCCAACAACGTTACCAAAAAAAAAAATTCTGAAATAAACCCAGTGTCCATGCCCCTCGACCCAAGCAAACTGAACCGTATTAATACGTGAAAAATTTGAATACCAAAAATGTTTAATTAATTACAGATTAATTTAAAAATAACTCATTAGTCACCGTTTTAAACAGATATAAAGTACTTATTTGAAACTAAACAAGTAAGGGCGCGTTCCCACTATGTCGTGACGACAGATTGTCGTGCAGTTTACAGTGTCGTGGCTTGTATATTTAAATGAAGTAGTTCACATATAGCACGACACGATTAAATGTCGTTCACGATTTTTTATCGTTACAACGACAAACTGTCGTCACAGTGGGAACAGCTAGTCACGACAGTCGTTCAACGATAAAAAATCGTCCACGACAGATAGTCGTGATATGGGAACAGGCTAGACACGGCAGTCGTCCAATGATAATAAAACGTGACGATATAGTGGGAACGCGCCCTTAAAAATTGTTTGATAAGAAACGACCGTTATTCACCTCTATGAACTTTTAGTTGTAGATATTTTTTTCTATAAATAACGGCACCTACAAAAAGTCATTACGCATAAATGTGAAACATTATTTGTAAATAAAATATTATTATTTTTCTGCTTATAATCGTAAATCATTGATGATCAAACCATTTATATGTCCCACTGTTGTTTAACGTTTCTTTAGTTTATTTCATTATTTTTACCCTAACGCTATTAAATTTCATCAATTTCGATTCATTTTTACAATTATCAAGTTCTTAATAGTCAGGTTTTTTAATAATAATTAATTCATTGTTATTATTATTATTATTTATGTTAGGGTTTATTCTAATTATTTTCTAATTTAATTTGAATCAACATGATTATGTGTATTTTTGAAAATAAGTCAATATTTTGAAACTATTTTTTCTAATATTAATCGCATTTATTTGTTTTTTCAAAAAAAATGTTTCATTTCTTCTGTGTAACAATGGCGAAAACCTTAGAACTCGATATTATATATTTTTTTCTACTTTATTGTTGTATTCAATTCGTGTCGTGGTTGTCAAAGTAAATAAATAAAACGGTGGCAAAGATCTGGACGCGCAGTCATCTTATATGAAATCGACATATTTCATTAGATTGTAAACATTAACCGTCGAATATCGATCGTACCACACTCATCCTCCCAAACTCTATATCCCATCCATACTTATTGAAATTCCAAAATTTCACATTTGTTTCTTGTCAACAGTTGCGACGGCCGAGAACGGCGGAAAGTATGTACCCCGCGCGATCCTTGTCGACCTCGAACCAGGCACCATGGACGCGGTACGCTCCGGTGCTTACGGGCAACTCTTCCGGCCAGACAACTTCGTGTTCGGGCAGTCGGGTGCGGGTAACAACTGGGCCAAGGGTCACTACACCGAGGGAGCCGAACTAGTCGACGCCGTCCTTGATGTAGTCCGTAAAGAGTGCGAAAACTGCGACTGTCTCCAAGGTTTTCAACTCACGCACTCTTTAGGCGGCGGTACAGGCTCCGGCATGGGTACCCTCCTCATTTCAAAAATCAGAGAAGAGTACCCTGATCGTATTATGAACACGTATTCCGTCGTTCCTTCACCTAAAGTCTCCGACACTGTGGTAGAACCTTACAATGCAGTGCTCTCTATCCATCAGCTAGTCGAAAATACCGATGAAACTTATTGTATTGACAACGAGGCTCTCTATGACATCTGCTATAGAACACTCAAAGTTCCTAACCCGTCTTACCGCGATCTCAACCACCTGGTATCACTGACGATGTCCGGAGTCACAACGTGCCTTAGGTTCCCTGGCCAATTGAATGCTGATCTCCGTAAGCTAGCTGTGAATATGGTTCCGTTCCCGCGTCTTCACTTCTTTATGCCGGGTTTCGCTCCGCTAACATCCCGTGGTAGCCAGCAGTACAGAGCTTTGTCAGTTCCTGAGTTGACACAACAGATGTTCGACGCTAAAAACATGATGGCGGCGTGCGACCCTCGCCACGGTCGCTACCTGACCGTCGCCGCAATCTTCCGCGGTCGCATGTCCATGAAGGAAGTGGACGAGCAGATGTTATCTATTCAGAACAAGAACAGTAGCTTCTTCGTTGAATGGATCCCGAACAATGTAAAGACAGCGGTTTGCGATATTCCTCCTCAAGGTCTGAAGATGTCGTCCACCTTTATAGGTAATACCACGGCGATTCAGGAGCTGTTCAAACGCATCTCAGAACAGTTCACCGCTATGTTCAGGCGCAAGGCTTTCTTGCATTGGTACACTGGCGAGGGCATGGATGAGATGGAGTTCAGCGAGGCGGAGAGCAATGTCAACGACCTGGTGTCGGAGTACCAGCAGTACCAGGAAGCTTCGGCTGAAGAGGATACAGAATTTGATCAGGAGGATATGGAGGAGCTTCAAGATGACCAGAACTAGACTGATGGTTGTTTAATATATACGTTCATGAACCTTCATATTGTCTGATATATAGAGATTGGTATGCCAGGGAAACGACCAGGCCGTTCACATAACAAAAAAATACATAGAAAAAGTATTTTTAATCTCTACAATCCAATACACGAACAGCTAGTTGGATAATTGTTTCTATGGAAAATATCATTTCAATTTGTAATGCAATGTATCAGTTACTGAATAAAAACATAATCTTAATTGAAATATCAGATTACGTCGAAGTTTCCTTTATCGAATATTACTAAAGATCGTTTTGCATTATAAGCATGTCGAAGCCGTGTGAAGGTTTTTTAAGTGCATGAAAGTCGTTTTTAAAAGTATTATGGTAAGAGCTGTAAGCTTTGCGCCTTTGCCGTATTGCCGTATTTCTAAACAGAAAATCATCGTTAACATTCAAATATATTATTATATGAAGAGGCTGTATGGCTACCTAAATAAATGGGAGACAACTCATAAAAAAAATTTTAGTAAAACTTGACAGCTCTTACGAAACGTATTCTATACATGTGTTTTAATAATTGAATAAATTTTTGTAATTTTCTTTAACCAAAAACGTATGCAACGACAGATGCTATTACAGCGTACCAATTTGTGCATTTCTTAGTTGTAAGTTATTAATCTTGTATGCTTTTTGAAATATATTATATATAATTTAATTGATAATTTATAATTAAATGTTTAAAAACAACATTTTCGTTTTCATTGGTGTGTGGCGATGACAAATTCTAAAATCTTTGTCTAGGTAAGTAAGCATCGCATTTTTACTTGCGGCCTCTACACTACGCATATGCTTCGTCGCAGAGACCGTTTTACATTATGTACCGTTCATTATAAAAGTGAATTATGTCCTTGCAATAAAATTTTTAAATAATGAGCTTTTAGCAAATTAATGTTTAATAATTTTCGTTCTCGGAGTAAACTAGTAATGCCATCTATGGGATGTTAGTGCAATTATTGGAGTTGCTTAACTTTTATAATGAAAGTTATGACTAAAATGTGATACATTTGAGCAAAAAATCTGTTTTCAAATATGAACCTACTCCACTTATATAATGGACTCGTATGTTACTGTTGGCATATGAATCTGGTGGCGCATGGATCGTAAATTGATGGAAGACATTCAATGTATTGAGTTTGAATGAGCATAAGTTCTGAAATTGCATTTGACAGTGGCACAATCTAAATATTAAAGTAAATGAAATTTAAATAATTTATTTAATTTTAAATAAAAATCTACTAATAAAAGTATACCGATGTTTTTTTTGTTTTTCACTGTTATCAAAAATCCGTCTTTTACGTTTTATTATGTATGTACCTACGTAGGTACATGCACCTCCATCTTTTTATTTCGATTTAGACGTTTGTAGAAGCCTGCAGTGGCGCGACAGCCGTACGTCTGTAGTAGCGCTTCAGTAATTTTTAGTTCACAATTTTTTTTATAATTGTGACTGCAGAAGTGGCGCGCGTGTGTCACGACAGTGGCGCGCGTGTGTCACGACAGTGGCGCTGCAACTGCGCTTATAAATATTGTATGAATAGTAGTAGTGGCCCCACTGCAGCACTTATATAAGCGTTTGAGTTCAAGGCATCCTAAGCTGATGACTTTAGAGCCAAACGACTCATAGTTAGACAAAATTAGAATAAAAATGTAAGGTTTTTGTAGTTACTTACACGAACTTGCTATTGGTTTAATAACCAATGCTCATTAAATAAATAATAATTCGACGGCCTCGGCGGCTCAACCGTTTGACGCTGGACGAGGAGGTCCCGGGTTCGATTCCCGGTAGGATCAATTTCGGAAAAGAACTTTTCTAAATTGGTTTTGGTGTTCTGGAAAGTGCCCCGCAGTGAATTCCGGTGCTCTGGTACTCAAAGCACAGGGAATACTGTAAGACCAGGCAATTGGCGTGTTTGTCTGACACATTATTATTATTATTAATTAATTGTTAGGGTATCGACATATATATATCCATCACTGTCTTCTTCTTAGTCGTTATCTTCATTGCTGAAGGTCGGGTCCCTGAAAGGTTAGCGAGATTTTATGGACGATTTTCTTCCATCTGGTTCTGTCTTCGACCTCTCTCAGGGAAGTTGTTATAGGGAGGCCAGTGAGGGCTGCCACTTGGTCACTTCATCGGTTAGGTGATCGACCGCGGAGTCTCTTTCCCTCGACCTTAACCACCACAACCAGTTTGTCAAGGTAGTCTACTTGGCGGCGAGCAATATGGCCAAAATACTTCAGGATTCTCTGGTAGCACATATTGTAAAGTCTATCTGCGATATTAAGCTGCTTAACTATGGATTGGTATTTTCCTTCTAGCAGTCCACGGTATACGGGCATCCTCCAACATAAGCTTATATATTTTTTCCATACTGATTCTCGGATTATCCACAACTCTGAGCCAAAAATCGATAAGACCAATGTCCGGACTAGAATCCATTTGGTAAGGTTGGAGACTTTACTGCTACGCCAGATGTGCGTCACTGTAGCTCAGTTGATAATAAAAGTGGCCCCGGTGTGGCAAGAAACGCTGGTTCAAGTCCAATCAGATCGAAGGATTTTTCTTAGTGTTGTTCGATCTTTGTTTTCCTAAGACGAATAATAATTTACGGTAATTAACTGTCGCTACAGGTTGACATTTAATACGCGGCAAGGAAGTGCAAATGTGATACTTCATTAATATGAATCGAGGCTACGTTTTCCGCATTTAGGTAGATATCTGCATTGCAATTTTCATGCAACTAAATGTAGTGTACATTGGACCAGTGAATATCTATGCCATGCGGGAAGTAAAGTATGCCACATCAAAGCGAATAAGCAAAAATGCAAAGAAATTCAGTTTGTACATTTTTGCAGAAATAGGAAGAATAAGTAGGTGCCATTTAGAAACAACATTCGTACCTTTAGAATCATAGTAACCCAACACAAAATCTCAATTTTTTTCAATTCGCACAATAGGTTTTGAGGTTGTCACATTTTCATATTATTTGATTTATTACTCTTCAAGTACTAATTATGATATTATAAACGTTTCCCTTTTTTAAAAACAAGGTAGTTGAAACACTTTGTGTGTGGCAAGAAAAAAGGCAATTGCCCTTAAGGCTCAAGTCACACTGGCGCACTGGTCTCTGCGCCAGTGTGAGTTGAGCCTAATAGTAAAAATAATGATGAAATATTCAACCTTTTTTAATTATTTTAATATTTAGCAATAAAAAAATGTAATTTACAAAACTAGTGGCTATCTATGAGGTCACTTTTTTGTGAACTTTTTTGTTGACGTAACAAGAATTTGATTGTCTCTTTCATTTTCACCAGCTAATAAATAATAATAATTATGATTTTCAGAACGAAAACGGCTTAATTATTGCTAATCCATCACTTTTCACCAATGGTGGTGGCGTGTTGTCTTTGCTGATACAGACTGACGGGAGTAAAATTAAAACATATTAAGTGCTATTCGAGCCTTAATGAGACAGTTCCAAATAAATAAACTTATTATTGACAATGGTTTTTAAAATCTTTTTACAGTGGAAACTCATTTTCATAATTATTTTTTTAATTAGGTCATTTTCATTCTGAAGGGACGATTATATTAGCGAGACTTTTGTCTAGTGTGTCCTTTGGGATGGTAACAGAAGTACTAATAGCATTCCTTTGGAATGATATTAGTAATGTATGATGTTTTTTATACAATGACAGTTAAAAACGGCAAAATGAATGCAAAATTAAAAAACTAAAAATCACTACCAAAAAGCATAATCAAGCTTGATGTACTGTTGTTGTACATAACGTGAATATGGAGCATTTTGTTTATCTCCAATTGGGTTTTTGTTCTATTCAATTAATATGGAAATAAACAAAATTAATATTTTATTTATTTGCACTTTACTATGACGGTGACTCGTCAAAGTTCGATTTTAGTTAAGTTTCTTGACATTGAAACGGAGACCTACTACCCCCAAAGCTAATTTCAGATGGCGCCACTATCGCTGGCGCTTGTGTCTAGACAGTCTAACTTCTCGTCGCGTAGAGAATACGTCCTCATTACCGAGGGTCGTGACTCAACCGTGGAAACAGTTTCTGCATGACGACGTTGTGTAGTATGTAGTGGTCTTTAGCATAGTGAAGTGCATCATAAAGACCCATGCCGAGCGCCGTACAAATTTGGACGGATCATCTTGTGGGACAACGAGTAGGTATACCTTCTTTTGTCATAAAATTCATCATTACATTATCTGGAAAATGCGTTAGGTGTAATTTTTTCTGTGTAAATTTCAGATTCTCCATTAATGTACATGAAGGCGTGGGAAATGGGCGGCCGCCGGGCGAGAAGTCTTTCGTCTAACGGGGCGCTAATGGTTCTGAAACACTCCATACAAGACGAGGGTCAATAACTAAATTATCAATTTAGAACCCATAAAATGGCGAAAGCACATAGCTATGGCATAGGAACATAAAAGTATGGTACATTAATTTAAAAACAAAATAGACAAATAAGTTTATTTATTTAATTTATATCTCATAAGTATTACGTTTTATTTATAATTATAACAATACAATATTCGTACTGTATAATTGTTATAATTCATAAATAGTAAACAGTGAACATAGAGTTTGCATTCTAAGTTACTTATATTTACATACTGAACACATAAGATTTATTAGCATGATACCTATTTGCTTGAGTTTGCAAATAAAAAGGTGGAATAGACAGATACTAAGGGCGCATTCAAATTAGATGCTTATAGAAGCGCTACAGTGGTACCACAGCAGAGCTTTTACAAGCATCTAATGAAAAAGCGCCCTAGGAAGAAATGCCACATTTATTGGTGAAAATGTCAGTCAATAGTTACCCGACATTTGCGAGGTGAAATGTTGGTAGCAAAGATATCGGATGTAACAAGCCATATTGACTAACAAGTTCGCCAATTAATGGTGACTTTAATGTGTAGCGCCACATATGCCGAAGCAAAGCATTCGATAAAATTTTATTGCCCGATAAATAGGTGATGTAGTCGAAAATGAAACATTATGACTTATACTCAAACCAAATTCAATATAGAATAAATGTCAACAACAAAAACAGATGATTTTCATCTCATATTGGGTTACAGTTACCTACCACAATTTCATTATTTCTCACCGAAATTACTAATAAAAACAAAGTAAAAATACTAATCTTGAAGACAGGCTGTGATGAATTTTGTGCAACAGAAGTTTTAACATGAGAATTACCAGTAGTCTGTCAATACATGAACCCTTGTAACATGGTGTATCTATTGACTGAATCTAAAATAGTATTCTAATTATAATGTAATTTTATTGTTGTTTATTTTTAATTTTATACTAAATTTTATTTTTGAGTTTAATTGTATTAAAACTTTGTAATGTATGTATATTTGTAATCCACGTTGGTCGAAATAAATGATTTACTTCGACCAACTTTTATTATTATTTATACAACTGTGTCATCCCTAATGATTATTTAT